CCTGCCTAGGCAGGGGGTTGGACTAGGAGACCTCCAAGGTCCCTTCCAACTCTGCTATTGTATTGTATTGTATAACATCTTTGACAGATGATCTGTTAGCTTTGGTTTGGAGACATCTGGCAGAGGAAGACACGCCACTTCATGGAGTAGCCAGTTCCCCTGGCTCAAATTGCTGGGAAATTCTTCTTGGTATCTAATTTTAATTTCCTTCCTTGCAATTTTAACCTCTTGGTTGTAGTTCCTCACCAAAGTACAAGATAATTATCCCTCTCTTTTTTCAGTATAACAACCATGCATGCATTTAAAGATCCCCAGGTCTCCCCCTAGCTTTACTGGGTGGCCTCTTTTCCTCCATTGCTTATACGGCTGATCCAGGTTTCCAAACAGGATTAGCTTGAAGCACTGGAGGATCCAGTATGTAGCCTGTTACAGGTAATCCTCGACTTACAACTACAATGGACCCCAATTTTTTTTGTTGCCAAGTCAGAAATGTGAGTTTTGCCCCATTGTATGACAGTTGTTAAGTGAATCACTGCAATTGTTAAGTTAGTAACCCGGTTGTTAAGTGAATCGTCCTTCCCCGTTGATTTTGCTTGTCAGGAAATCATGAAATATGATCACATGACCCCTGGACACTGTGCAACCGTCATAAATGTGAGCCCGTTGTCAAGCATCTAAATGCAAATCACGTGACCATGGTGATGCTGCAATGGTCATAAGTATGAAAAATGGTCATGTCACTTTTTCAGTGCTGTTGTAACTTCAAAGAGTTACTAGATGAATTCTTGTGTCGAAGGCTACCTCTGCTTCAACCACCACGCTAAACTGGCTCTCATCTTCAATAAATAAGTCATATTGTTAAAATACAGAGTTTGCTTTTAGAGCATTTTGATGGCTTTTATTCAGTTGCTTTTCGAAGATGTACATTGTACTGACTGTCCTGGTGGGAAGAAAGGTGTCTTAGAAATACTTTTGATATTAAGAAACTAGGCCTCATGAGGTAACCTTGAGTCCATCCTCAATGGTCTTCCTCAGCCTAGTCTTCCATGATTATAACAAACCTTCCCCATTTTTGAACATTTCTCCAGCTCCTTCTGGAGAAGAAGGAGATCCCCTTGAAAAGGCCGGTCTTAATAAGCTTCAGCGGAAATAGCACAAATAATACAGAAGACAGCAACACCACAGCCCCCAAATTTACAAACTTATTGGATGCTTTCAAAACTTAAAGGAGAAAAGAAAAATAATCCAAGCAAGATTTTTAAAAACAAAAACAAAAACACCTGTTACAACAACCTCCCATACTACAAAGATATAGGGTTGATCCCTGAATGAAAGAGAAAAATAATCAAGATCAGGTAAACTACGTCCTTTTGGATGGATCTTGCTAAAGAGATGATGACATCCCAGAAGCTACTTTTCCTTAGACTGCTTGGCGGTGTGAAAGGATGTTCACCTGAGGATCCTGACTTTCAAACTTTTTGCATCCAAGTGAACTATTTTCACGGAGATAAAGTCTGCAAGAAAGTCCCTGAGCAGTTTCTCAACCTCAGCAAGTTGAAGGGCGTGTGGACTCCCAACTCCCATCGCTGGCTGCGGAATTCTGGGAGTTGAAGTCCTCACATCTTAAAACTTGCCGAGGTTGAAAAACAGTGCTTCTGAGTATCTGATGGGCACTGCAAAGGATTTGGGGAAATGGCCCTCTGCAAAGGATTCTGGGAAAATGAATTCACGCACATATCATTAGCATGTGCCAATGCCTTGTTAGATCACCAGGGTCTCATCTAGGATCCTTCCTGAGGGGTGCACCTTGGGGCAGCAAGAAAAACTTTTGAGGCCCTAAACCAGCTCAGGCTGCCGACTGACAGGACAAAACACACTTGTTCCTAGGCATAGAAAGCACGGATGTCAGGGAGAAGGCAGAGCTAATGGTGTTGTTACTACAATATCAGCTTTTTATGTGCATGGGGATTGCCATCTACTGGATGAAAGCGGCAGGTCACATCCAGGGGTGGGTTCCTGCCAGTTCTAACCTCTTCTATAGAAGAGGTTCCATAAATCTACAGTGCCGTTTAGAACCGGTTCCAGCTCCCTCCCCCCCCCCACCCCTCCACACATCATCAAGATGAGGAGCAAGAGGAGGAATTCTGGGAGTTGAAGTCCACAAGTCTTAAAGCTGTCAAGTTTGAATACCCCTGGTTTTTTTTTTCTAAAGGGTTAGGGGTTCAAGGGTCTTGTAACTTGACAGCTTTAAGACTTGCGTTCTTCAAATGCCAGTTTCTGAGCCAACATTTTGGTTCTAAGCAAGAGCGTTGTTAAGTGAGTTTCACCACATTTTACAAGTTGGCCATGCCCACCCGGTCACATGGCTGGTAAGCCACTCCCACAAAGCAGGCCACACCTACAGAAGAGGTTCTAAAAAAATTTGAAGCCCACCACTGGTCACATCCCAACAAATATGCCAGGGATGGGATGGAGGCAGTAATCTCCCAGTTATTAAACCCAGCAGCTTGCTAGGACTGAGCTGCAGCCAAAAAAATGTCGTCGTCCCCAACTCATCTTGCTTGGTACGATCTAGAAAACTGCATCCAGTTTAGGTTGACAAGCCTATTCTCCAAAGCAATGTTCCCTCTAAGCTGCGCGGCCGCCCACGTAAAAAGAAAACACCGCGCAGAAGTTTCAAACTGGCACGCAGTGTTTTTTAATGTCTTAAAATATGACTAAAAATATCCCCCTCCCTCCGTTCTCTCTCTGCACCGAACTCTCTCCTCCACCTGGTGATTGGTGAAATCAAGGAAGACTCTGTCCGGAGACCGATGACGCTGCAGAAGGGAGAATTCCCATTGGTCTTCTGGGGCTTCGTCGGTTCCTGGGAAAACATGATTCGCTGATTGTAGCCTGCGTTTCTCTGCCCATCCGGGGTTTCTCAGGCAATTAACTAACAATTAATCAGTGGAACAGCTTCCCTCCAGAAGTTGTGAGTGCCCCAACACTGGAAGTCCTTAAGGAGATGTTCGATAGCCATTTGTCTGAAACGGTATAGGGTTTCCTGCCTAGGCAGGGGGTTGGACTAGAAGACCTCCAAGGTCCCTTCCAACTCTGCTATTGTATTGTAAGAGAGTCTGGTGCTTCCAGTAAATGCCAGGCCTTTTGGAAGCAAGGCCTCTCCCCCCATTTCTATCCCCGGTTCTGGAGAGATGCAAGCCTCTGGTCCGTCTCTTCTAGGCTGAGCAGTTCTAATTGAGGATGCTCTTCTGCCCTTTTACTGCCCAAACTCCTTCTCCACGTTTTTGCACCAAAGCAATTGCAGACACATTGGTGCAAGGGTTTAAAAAATTGGGCAGTGATAAGGTCCTAGAGGTGCTTTTCCAAAAGGCAACTGGATTTTCTTTTTTGGGAGGGGGGTTTCCTTTCAAAATGTTTTGCTTCTCATCCAAGAAGCTTCTTCAGTTTTCAAAGGAAAAAAAAACCAAGAAAGTGCAGTTGCCTCTTGAAAAAGAATCTTTAGGACAAACCATGACCTGGATTGTCTAAGAAGATTTTCGGTCATTCAAGTGATGGTTGTCCCAAAGGTGCTTTTTCAAGAGGCAACTGGACTGTCTTGGTTTTTCTTTGAAGATGTTTCACTTCACATCCAAGAAGCTTCTTCAGCTCTTTCTTTGAAGAGCATCTTCAAATGGAAAAGAAGAAAGGAAAGGAAAGGAAAAAGGAAAGGAAAAAGGAAAAGGAAAGGAAAAGAAAATGGGAAAGAAGAAAGGAAAGGAAATGAAAAAAAGGAAAGGAAAACGGAAAGGAAATGGGAAAGGAGGAAAGGATGAAGAAGGGAGGGAAGGGGAAGAGAAGGGAAAAGAAAAAAAGAAAGGAAATAAAGAAATAAGGAAAGGAAAAGAGAAAGGAGATAGGAAAGGAAATGGAAAAGAAGGAAAGGAGAAAGGAAAGGGAAAGAGAAAGGAAAGGAAAAAGGAAAGGAAATGGAAAAGAAGGAAAGGAAAAAGGAAAGGAGAAAGGAAAAGAGAAAGGAAAGGAAAGGAAGATAGAAGGACAGAAAGGGAAAGGGAAAAGTGAAATTTTGGGACATGATCCAGATGACTGAGAATCTCCATAGACAGCAATAAGGCCTTTGGTCTTTTATCCTAGTAGAAAGGATTTTCCCAAATTTTGCCATTCATTCTCTCCGTCATACTCTTTTCTTGTGACTTCTCACTTGCCATTCAAATACACTGACAAAGAAATGTTCTATTGCAGATATATTGGCAGAGGTCTTGCTTCACTTCTTAAGAGTGCATTTACAGATTACCCTCAACTTAGAACCGTTTGCTTAATGACTGTTTAAAATTACATTCCTGGGAAAAGAAAAGTGACTTACAAGCGGCCCTCGCACTTAACACAACATCTCCTCTGGTCACATGACTAAAATTTGGCCACTAGGGAACCTGAATGTATTCATCACCTTATGCTAGTTATTGCTGTTTTCAATCCTTCCAAAAGGCTTCCAGTAAGAAAACTCAGTGGAGGAATCCAAACTCGCTTAAAATGACCATGGCGGCGGGGGGGGAAGATAGTAAAACTGGGCATGACACATTTAATGACTGCAGTTCATTTAGTGACTGTTCAAAGTGGCACTGAAAAAAGTGATTTATGACGGTTTTCCAGGGATAACTTTTACAGCATCCCCATGGTTGTGCGATCAAAATTCGGATGCTTGGCAACTGACTCCTATTTATGATGGTTGCTATAGCCCACCGTCATGTCACGTGACTCCCCCTTGGTGACCTTCTGCCAAGCAAAGTCAATGGGGAAGCCGGATTAATGTAACAAACCCTTGTCGCTTAACTTATCAACAGCAGGGACAATCGTTTAACAATCGTGGCAAGAAAGGTCGTAAAATGAGGCAAAACTCAATGAACGTCTCACTGAACAACAGAAATCCTGGGCTCATTTGTGGTCGCAAGTCGAGGACTACCTGCGACAGCTTGGCACTGTAGTGAAAGGCATCAGAAAAGGGTTGGCAAACTATCTGGATCGCTAGAAGCCATCCAAGTGCCCTCATTTTGGGAATTGCCAATCGATTTATAGCAATAGCACAGGGGTGTCCAACCTTGGCAACTTTGAGGCTTGTGGACTTAAAGTGTAAGGCCCGGCCTCTCCCCCTTAATCAAGGGAGTAAAGACTCTTGAAACTTTGCATTTCAATAGGATCCTTTTATAGAAAAAGGAGTTATAGCTGGGTGAAACCAAACCAGGATCAGGGGTCTTTAAGGCAATACAATAGGAATCCAAGAAGTTGGAATCCCCTGCCAACCATCCGATGTGGATTTGGCCAATCCGCAGATGTGAAGTTTTTTGTTTTTTGTTTTGTAAGGGACACTCTAGGAAAATGATAAGATTTTCTCAGGCTTGCTTCCGAGCGATGCAGTCCACGTGGCCCTCCCTCCCCACTCATTGCCCGAAAGGTGAGGAAGTGCCAGGCCTCTAGGCGCCAGGCTAGAAGTTATAAAGCAATTAATTACATGGTACAGCATATATAGGAAAGAAGGATAGACAAGTCTAGAGGAAGTATAGACTCCCCCCCCCTTCTCTTGAAGAATGGCAGATTCATGGCTGGCTGGGGCATTCTGGGAGTTGAAGTCCACAAGTCTTAAAGTTGCCAAGGTTGCATAACCCTGCACCTAATTTAGGAATGTACCACTCCGGGTGGTTTCCTTCCTCAAATGCTGGTATTCTCCTTCCTCAAATGCTGGTATTCTCAGTAACTCCTCCTCTTCCACTTAAAGGCTAAAATGGGACATTTGCTGCTTTGGAAAACATGAATCCAGGTTTAGGCAGTTCAACCTGCCCGACCACTAGAATCCAACTTCCTCCCTCTGCTACCAATGAAATTTCCCCCCCCCTTTCCCTGTTGCTTTGAGAACAGGCGACCGGCATTTCTCTTGGATGGGAGGGCAAACGTTGGCATTTAGATGCCTCAAAGGGGACAACCACATTACAGAGGCAAAGGGGCAGCCCCGGACATCTACCGTAATTTTATTTATTTGCACATATGAACATGGACACTCCAGCAGGTGTTACAGATAGCTAACTAAAGAGCACTAAGAGCAGGAAATTGGATATAACCCTCAGATGCAGCTGGAATTGTGATTTGGGCTCCTTGATCCAGCCCAGCTGTTCATTCCCCAACTTAATCGCTTCCTATGCTAAGCTGGACTTCACCTGCAACACCAAAAGTCATTCCAGAGCAGAAAATTATGGGCCTTGCCATAATCTCTAGCTCTGTTTTAAGCCTTTCTACCCAGCGCGTTGGGGACAAAATGGTTTTTTTTAAAAAAAAAAACACAAACAAGAAACAGAGAAGGGAAGCTTGTGGTTCTTTGGCCTTCTGTTTCAACAGGTCTAAAATACAATATCCAGAATCAAGGCAACAAGATGGCGCAGTGGTTAGAATGCAGTACTGCAGGCCACTTCAGCTGACTGCTAGCTGCAGATTGAATTTCACCAGGCTGAAAGTTGACTCAGCCTTCCATCCTTCCGAGGTGGGTAAAATGAGGACCGACTGTTGGGGACAGCATGCTGACTCTGTAAATTGCTTAGAAATGGCTGTAAAAGCACTATAAAGTGGTATGTAAGTGTAAATGCTATTGCTACCCTGTTTCCCTGAAAATAAGACCTCCCCGGATAATAAGCCCAATTGGGCTTTTGAGCGCAGGCGCTAAAATAAGTCCTCCCCGAAAATATTGCAACACAGCACCATGAGGTGACCACGCTCGCCACCTCCTACACCTAAAAAATAAGACCTCCTCGAAAATAAGGCCAAGAGCTTATTTTAGGGTCAAAAGAAACTAAGACCCTGTCTAACCCTAACCCTGTCTTATTTTTGGGGAAACACAGTAGTGCTATGGTTAATGTTCAGTTTACTGGATTTTTTATTTTATTTTTTGAAATGGAGGGAAAATCCTAATTTCTCAGCAAAAGCAAGGTAAAAACAAGGCAGGGAACCAAACAACGATGCACATTTTGAAAAATACTAGTAGAATTTTTTTTAAAAACAGTCCAACGCAACTGAGACTTGGGAAAAGAAGATTAAACGTTTTCAGAAATCCAGCCTATTTTATGATCTCCCAGAAATGTGGGAGATTATTCCAGAGGTTACAAGGATCTTGCCATGAAGTCAGAACCAACACTTTTGAGGTCAAGAGGGGACCATTCTAAGTTCCAGATGTGAAAACATTTGGCACACCTTATATCCTCAGCCTCGCCCCGTCCCTCCCATCTGCAAAATGGGTATAAAAGGAATCTTACTCGAAACAGCAGCTCGGTAAACACTATATTCCCCCCCCCACACACACACACATCCTCTATCACTGTTTTAACTTTTGAAGCCTGTGTTTTGATTCTTGAAACCAACTTGGTTCTACACTATTCTTAGACAGTATACGTGTGTGTGTCAGGGGTGGTATACGCTTACCTTCCCTGACTGATTTGCACATGTGAGTATGCAGGCTCACTTTTGGCGAAAAAAATGGCCTAAATGGGATGCCATAGAGCTGGGCGGGTGGGCGGAGCCACCTGCAATTTCTGCTACCGGTTCAGGCAAATAAGTCCGAACCAGCAGAATACCACCTCTGGTGTGTGTGTGTCAGGGGTGGGTTCCTGCCAGTTTTAACCTCTTCTATAGAAGAGGTTCCACAAATCTACAGTGCTGTTTAGAACCGGTTCCAGCTCCCTCCCCCCCCCCCCCCGCACATCATCAAGATGAAGAGCGAGAGGAGGAATTCTGGGAGTTGAAGTCCACAAGTCTTAAAGCTGTCAAGTTTGAACACCCCTGGGTTTTTTTCCTAAAGGGTTAGGGGTGCAGGGGTCTTGTAACTTGACAGCTTTAAGACTTGCATGCCAGAGTTCCTGAGCCAACATGACTGGAGGAGGAATTCTGGGAGTTGAAGTCCACAAATCTTAAAGCTGTCAAGTTTGAACACCCCTGGGTTTTTTTCCTAAAGGGTTAGGGGTGCAGGGGTCTTGTAACTTGACAACTTTACAACTTGTGTGCTTCAAATGCCAGAGTTTTTGAGCCAACATTTTGGTTGCTAAGCAAGAGTGTTATTGAGATTCACCACATTTTACAAGTTGGCCATGCCCACCCAGTCACATGGCCAGCAAGCCACTCCCACAAAGCAGGCGACACCTACAGAAGAGGTTCTAAAAAAATTTGAAACCCACCACTGGTGTGTGTGCATACATATATACAATAAATACAATAAATAAATTGTAACTTGAGAAATGGGAAGACGAATAGCGCCCCTTATGGTCATTTGAAGAGCTTACAATTTCCACCTCCATCTTTTAATTACCAGACAAGTAAAATGACCTTTAGAGTTTCTGTTTTTAAGTGACTACGTAAACGTGGGTTATTTCTATTTTGCAGATGGGGAGAGGCAACTTTCCCCAAAGTTGCACTCCGAATCCACCTCCGACAGATCAGGCTCTCTGCTGCTTTCTCTCTTTTATAATCTGCAACCACATGGGTTCGGAACCCGGCAGCAATCCTTCCTATGGGCCTAAAGCTTTGCCTTGTGCTTCCTTATGCATAGATAAGATGGGCTGTCCTCCTAACACACTAGGGGGGCAGGGAGACCTAGTGGGATTTGCCAGGGTGGCCACTGGAAATGAAACTGGCCTAAAAAAAACTATGCGATTGTTTCGGTTTTTTCAGTCCCACGCCTTCCTTTTGGTGCCCCTGCTGGGCCTGGCCTCAAGACCCCGGGAAGTGGCATCAGAAGTGGAAGGCTTTGGGGAGTCGGGCGCAACAGCCTCGCTTGGTCCATCGGTGGGAGACGGCTCCAGGACGGGGTCACTGCTGCCACCAGGCAGTGCCACTGGAGGCACTGGGCAGGGAATGACTGGATCGGTTACCGGCTCGGAAGGCATGCCAGGGACGTGGCCGGACGGCACTGGCGCTCCAGGCTCTGGAGGGCCCCAGGGCGGGTGGCCGGACGCTGTGTAAGAGCTGTGGTTGGCGTGGGTGCTCTGGGCAGGTGACTTCTGGCCTGCAAAGACCTCCGCGATGGCAGCCATGGCAGAGGTCTGCCTTCCCAGGAACTCCCCCAGGTGGCTGTGGGAGCGTTTGATGGCGTCGACCATCAGCTGCGCCGTGGCTCGATCCTGCCGCCGTTCCTGCTTGCGGTGCTGCCTTTCCTCCTGCCTGGCCATGTCAAAGGCCTTCAGGTCGTGACAGTGCAGGCCTCGCATGGCGTCCAACAGCATGGAGGGGGCCCGGGAGGCCGACTCCACCAGCTGCATGCTGGTCTCCAAGCGCTGCTTCCGGTTCCTCATCCTCCGGTTCCTCATCCGTTCGGCATTGGTGAGGGGCCTCCGGAACTCCTGGATGGGGCCTGAGGGGGGAAGGGTTGGGATTGGGGTGGGGGAGGGAGGGAGGGAGGGAGAGATAGGTGGAAGATGCAGAAGGGGAGTGGGGAGGGAAACTATTAGATTTTTGCTGGAGACCTGAGATTTATAGCCGTGGAAATTGTTCCTCTCTTAAAAATAAAGGTAAAGATTCTCTTTGCACATACACTATATTGCCAAAAGTATTTGCTCGCCCATCCAAATAATCAGAATCAGGTGATCCAATCACTTCCATGACCACAGGTGTATAAAATCAAGTACCTAGGCATGCAGACTGTTTTTACAAACATTTGTGAAAGAATGGGTCGCTCTCAGGAGCTAGCGTGGAACTGTGATAGGATGCCACCTGTGCAACAAATCCAGTTGTGAAAGTTCCTCACTCCTAAA